TTTATATCATTATTTTTTTATATATATTTTTTTGTTTTTTGAAATATTTATTTATACCATATAAATTTTCATTCTTTTATTTTTTATACTTTAAATTAATTTATTCAAATATATTTATGTATATTTTTTTTATACATATTTATTTATTATTTCCAAATATTTATATTTTTAAATTATATACAAATATATTAATAAATATAATATAAAATTAACATTATTTAAAGATATAAATTATTATTACAATTTAATTATAATTTATATTTATTTTAAAACATTATTTTTAATATTTTTTTAATTTATTATTCCTATATAAATAGTATATATTATATTATACAAATTAATATTATAAAAAAGATAAAAAAATATTATATCTTAATTTTAATTTTTTTTACATAATTTGTTTTTATAAGTTTATTATTTTTTTTCATTAAATTTGCTTTATATTTTATATTAATAAATTAAAACTTTACAAATATAATTTAACTATTTTTAAAAAACATTATAAATTAATTAATTAATTTTATTTAAAATTTTTATATAAATTTTTAGTTCGACATTTTTAATAAATAATTTATTAATTTAGCAAATTTATTTATAAGCATCAATATGAATTATATTTTTAAAAATAAATTGGGTATTTTTTTAGAAAGTGTAAATAGCTAAAAGTTAATTTCTTACTTAATTTACTTATATATAGCTATATTAATTTTAATTACACTATTAAAGATAATGCAGAATGAGATCACTATTTTATATTGATTGTGTATGAGAAAAAATCTGTATTATCATAAATAGAAATTAATTTGTTGATAAAAGTATAAGAATTATAATTTTTTAATTAAGAAATTTATTTCTAACATTTTAAATTGAAATGATATTATTAAATCTTTTCTATATTTTTAAGAGAAAAATTAATAAAATATATATATATTTTTTTTATAATTAATTAGTTTTACATTTTTTGAGAATTTTAATTTTTCTAATTTGAAAAATATTTTTTAATAAATAAAAATATTTATTGTCATAATCATTTTATAGTATTTAATTTTATTAAATAATTTCAATTTATTTTGCTTCATAATTTTAATTTTTATAAATAATAAAATATTAATTTTTTTAATTCATAGTCTTCATTAAATATTAAATATAAAATTATAATAAATATAGATTTTCCTTAAAGCTTGAATAAAAATAAAATAATCAAAATTAAGGATAGAAAATAATAATATCTTTATTAATTATGTTTCTTATTAAGATTAAAAAATTTATTTTCTTTTAAATATATTATTTATCCGATAATTATAAACTATGTAATATATATTTAAACAGTATTTTGTTAGTTTATCAAAATATATACTTTGTTATTTAAATTTAAAAAAATAATTGAATTAATAAGTAAAAAAGTGAAAAATCATATATTTAAATCTTATAAATAGTATAGATTTATTTATATAAAAATTTTAACAAAAATTGATATATACTTTAAAAAATAAAATTAATGATCTTTATAAAGATTTATTTATTAAAAACAAATATAATTATTTTTCTTTTAAAAAAAATATTAAAATAAATTTAATTCTAAAATCTTAAAATCAAAAACCTTTTTAACATAAATTTACAAATTACTATTTACTATTAAATTTTTTATTCTTAAATAAATAAATATATTGATTCATTTTTTATATTTCAGTTTTACTGTTATTTTTTTTTTTTTTCATATTATTCAATAAACTAAATAAAAGTATTAGTATAAATTCTAATAAAATATATATTTATTTTTACATCTTTGTTAAAATCAGTATAATTTTTAAGTTCTTTTTAGCATTAATCGCTCACTAATTTATAAATACATTAATTTTCTTGAATAACTTTGATCAATTATTCTTTGTGTTCATTAGATTAAGTAAGAATTTCATCTATTGTTTATCTTTCCTTAGGGTCACTTAAAGCTTTAGTATTTTTTTTAAGTAATTATTCACATAGAAAAATAAATTTATCTAATTTTTAATTAGTTTGAACTGTATTTACAACGTTTTAATATATAGTAGCAGCCAACTGATTTTCCTTTTATAAATATTAAAAATATAGATATATATTTTTTAAAAAATACATGAACAATTTAATGGTTAACTAAAAAAGTTTTTGTATATTTTCCCTTTAAATCTTTTTCTCCATAATATTTTTCGAATTCTTCTTTTAATTCTTTATAAAAAGGTCCCTTTAATTTTTTTTAGATTTTTTTTTTTTTTTAAATACAATTATCATTCTAAGTTTATCACAAAAAGTTGGATGATAAATTTTTTCCGAATTCCATTTTTCAACAATTATTAATACTTTTTTAATATTTTCAAAAGATTCAATAGACCTTAAATTTTATAAATAAAAAATTTAAATGCATATTTATATATTTATTGATTACTCACATACTGTTTGCAATATTTCCTTTAATCTTTATCCAAAAGATTTTATAAAGTAAGGACTTTTTTTTTTTTGAGATTCTTATATTATTTCATGAATTGCATAAAAATAATATATTTTTTTATCTTTTCTTGCTTATTTTAAGGCTTCAAAAAATAAATTTGAAATTTCTTCTGCTTATTTATCATGGATGCAACAGTATTAAGCGAGACCTTTTTATTAATATTTTTTTAGAAATTTTAAAATATAATATAAAGAACCTGTAATAGATGATTCAAAAGAATCTAAATCATAAAGAAGTTATTATAATCTGTCCTAATCCATATTATTTTAATTCTTAATTAAATATTTATTAAATTTTTTTCTTTTTATAAAAATAAATATTAAAATCTTAATTTTATATTTTTATAAAAGTAAAATATAAGTGTGAATAATTAGAAAAAAATTAAAATAATTAAACAATAGATAAAAGAAAAATAAATATATAAAACATATACCTATTCAATTCAAAATTTTATAAAATAATATATATTATTATGATATTTATGCTAAATTTTATATATTAAAACAAAAAATTTTACTACTTTTATTTTTCTATTTCAATATTATAGAAATAATCTATAAGTTTTTCTTTAAATCAATTAATATATATAATAATTGCTTTTTTAAATAAATTGTATATTACTTCTATATTTATTTTTTAATAAAGCATAATTTTTTATATAAAAGATTTTAATATTTATATTATTTTTATTAGTATAATTTTTGTTAAATTAGATAATTAAATAAATATTTTTGGGTATAATTAATTAAAGAATTATAATTTTTTAATTTTTAAACATTTTATAATTTTATTTTATGATTATTGTTATACAATTAATTAAATAAGGAATCAATTATATAAAATTTTATTTATAAAAATAAATTTTTTATTTGAAGATAACAATAAAAATTTTAAATTAATATATAATTAAATATGGGAACCGTTGCATCAAATGCTAATGGTGCTGATGATTTAGGTGCCTTATCAAATATTCCTTAAAATATTCGTTCGTTTGAATTAAAGGTCGACTTAGCAAAAGAAGTACATCCAACATTAAAATAGCTATAATTTTGTATTATAAATAAATTTATTCATTAATAATTAAAAAAAAAAATTGTTTCTCTTTTTTAAAAAAATTTTAATTGCTTAAATAATTAAATAGGGTCACTTTCAGATATTAGATAAGTTTATGAGAAATTTTAAAGGCGAAGCAATATTCCATTTTTAGATGTCACATTATTTTGTAAAGTGGTTCCTTTTACAAGGACAAATGCAATGTATATATTTAAACATTTTTGCAAAAATATAAGTAAAAATATTTTAATTTATTTTTATGCAAGGAAAAATAAATTATAAACAAGATTTATTGTCAGTTTATGAGTTTTTATGTGTTTTAGTTATTTGTGCGTATACTCATTATGTTAATAAAATCCATTGTATATTTTTTATTTAAAATATTTTATTTTATATTTTAAAAGTTTTGATTGTTTTATTTGATTTAGATTGCAATGGAAGTATATCTTTAAATGAATTACTTATTATTTTTAAATCTGTATTTATGGGTTATTGTAAACTAACAGAAACTGAAATACCTACTTATGGCACGTTAGAAAAATTTGCTAAACTTGTAAAAAATATATATTTTGTAATTTAATATTGTAAAAAACTAGATGTTTTTGAAATCTGATATTCAAGCAGATAACTCATTAGAATTAAAAGAGTAATTAAATTAAATAAAAAAATATGTTTTTAATATTTAAAAAAAGAATTATTGAATGGGTTGAAGGTAATGGAAAAGCAATGGAGTTATTTGCTCGATTTGGTAATTGTTTATTATAAATATATTTAAAAAAAACAAATTAAAAATAGAACCTTAATATAAAATAAAAGAAAATTTTGAAGTGTTTAGATTTTTCAGAAAATATAGAGAAGAAGACTCTCAAGAAATATTAAAATTAATAAATTAAGCATATTAATCAGAATATTATCATTCTGACATATAAAAAATGATGGGAAAGTATTTAAAAAAAAAAGAATATATATATAATTATAAAAAAAAGTTAAGGTAAAGTTGGTTACTTAGCTACTACTAAAAATAGATAAAATAAAATGTTCTCTTAAATTTTACCAAAACTAGTAAATAATGCAGTTAAGGAGACTTAGGCAATAGCAGCTGACATTGGTGATTAAGAATTATTAGAAATGGAGATTATAGAAAAAGCTATTGATTCTCACGCTAAAAAATATGATAATAAAAATGATAAAATAGTAAGTAATTCAACTCTCCCTTAAATAAAAATATCATCTCCTACTAAGCACAAAAGCCATATTTCTAAAAACATAATAATAATATAAGGTATTAATCTTTGTTTATAATATTAATATTTAATATATATAGGAAATACTTTAACAAGATAAGAAATTTTTAAACTAAAAGATTATTTTGATAAATTATCTGACCATAATAATTAAATAACCATTAAAGGTTTTATTTTAATTAGATAAAATAAAAATATATTTTTTTTAGAATTTACAAAAGCTTTTTCTGATAAGCCACATATGAAAAGAGTAACAGCTAGTTTATTTAATTTTTTGGATTCTAAACAAAGAGGTACGGTTACTTTTGAATAGTTGTTAATTAAGTTGTATCCTTCATTAACAAAAACTCATTTAAAATTGATTAATAATTGGATTAATTAATATGTGAATACATTTTCTATTGAAAATTAAGGAATGATAATAGATAATAATGATAATAAGTAAGTAAAAAGAAAAAGGGTTTTACCTCGAGCTGCTTTAAAAAGGGTTTAAGAAGTTTTTGAGTTATTGGATGTGGAAAAGAAGGGATGTAAAAATAATATAATATAATAAAAATAATTTTATATTTTAATTTTAAAAAAAAGATATAACACCAGAAAATTTTAAAGCATAATATAAATACGGATATACTCAAAAAGAAATTGAAGAAATTTTTGAAAAACATAATAAGGAAAAAGACGGAAAATTAAGTATGGATGATTTTATTAAAATGATTTTGCCTTTAGATTATACAATAGGAGAAGAAGAGGAAAATTGATATTTTTTACTGCTTTATGTATTAAATTAAAAAAGATGAAAATATATATTTTTATCATTAAAAAAAATACAAAAAATTATTAATATATTTATGCATATTAAATAAAATATACTAATTAATTTTTATTTTTCTCCTTATTAATAAAATTTTTAGTCTTTATGTAAATAATTTAACTCATAAATTAATTGACTTAAAAAATATATTTAAATAATAACGAACTTAAATCATATAAAACTTAAAAATTTATAAATTATATTTAAATCCGGGGCAGACTTTTAAGTTTAAATATCGTAATATAATTTATTTTAACTCGTAATAAATATCTATATTTTAAAAATCTTTAATTGTTTGTTTTTTAAATAAAAAGTTTATATATATATATTATATTAAATATTTTAAAAATAAATTGCTAAAATTAATATCCGCCATACAATTTTTATTACTTTAAAACAAAATAAATAAATAAAAATGATTTTATAAAATAATTATTTAAAAAAATATAGGATTATTGTTTTTATAAAAAGAAGAATAAATATATTATTTTTGATTTAATATAGTATAAATATTAAAAGTTTTTTTAATTAAGAATTAAAAATACATTGTTTTTTTTAATTAATTTCTATATTTAAAAACGCAAAATAATAAAAGAAGATAAGCTTTAATATTATTAAAATAAGTTATTAAAATTTTTTATAAAAATGATAAAAAACAAAGAAATATTATAATTTTAAAAAACGTGTTTCATATAAAGATATTTTGAAAACGAAAAAACAAAGAAATTAATTTAAATAACGATAAAAAAAGAAATTAATAAAATAAATAAAAAAAAAATCTTTTTAAAAGAATAAACAAAAAAAAATGAGAAATATAATAAAACTCACAATATTATTAGGGATATTATTATGTACTCTCAAGGCATTCTAAGCCGGAGAAATAAAAAATACAAAGAATGTTCTCATTTAAGAAAAGATGAGAGTTGAAACAATGAAGTTATTTACAGATCATGTATTAGATAACTAAAAATTTAGATATAATGGAAGTCCTTCTGGATTTACAAATAATTACGATATGTTTGTCGGAACACAAGAATTTGCTATCTAAGGTTACTTCAAATTAAAAAAAGGTATCTAAAGAAAAGAATGGGCAAGTGCTTATACTTTAAATGCCTTAAACAATCCTTTAGTTGGTCAACCTGGTGAGAAGATTCTATCTTTATCCGTTTACGATTTTAAGTATGTATTCTCAACTTACACTATTAAATCTGAAAGTGGAAATAAAGATTCCTAAATATAAAATCTATAACACGAAGTCTAATTCAATAATTCTAACGAAGGATAATGGGCCTTTATTTATTTTGGATATTCCGGTTGTTAAGGAAAAGCCTTTTTATACCTATAATTTGATAATTAAATTCCTTATACATACACTTTCAAAGATGTAACTCATTATGACTATGAAATTTACATATTGCATATAGGATAAAGCTTTTAATATAAAAACTTCCCTGGAAATATGAATTGTGTTACCCTATATGCTGGTTCTGGTGCATATAAAGAAAATGGATTTGACCTTAATAGTTGTCAGAATAAACCTCCATCAAGAAGTGAAACTTCTACAGAAACCTAAACTAACACTATGACAAATACTGATACAAAAGACCGTAGAGTTGAAGTATGCTAATAATTGATTGATAGATAGAAATTCAAATATTTTGGTAAGCCTAAAGGATTGAAATTAAAAACTTCAAACAAATATAATACTGAATAAGAATTTGCAATGCAAGGTTGGTTTAAATTAGATAAACTTGAAAATAGTGCTAAAAGAGATAAAATGGCTACTGGTTATCATATTAATTCAAATTTAAATCCAACAAACGATCAATAACACGGAGATAGAGTAATGGCTTTCTTTGTATAATAAAAGAGATTAATTTTTGCAACATATAATATAAATACAAATATTAAGAGTGAAGAAAAACAAATCACTTTTAAAAATTCAGAAGAATATAAATGGTTTTTAGTTTATTAAGCATATTCTCCAAGTGAAAGAAAAATGTACGTTTATGTCTAATTTACAGGAGAATAACCTCATGTTTTGACTTTTGAAAATGTTAGACATTAAAATTCAAATATTTACAGAATTTTTATTGGTTAATCTTTTGATTATAATAATTTCCCAGGAAAAATTTAAGGATTAACTTTTTATGCAGGTATAAATGCATACCATGAGTACCCAAACAAATACGATTGTGACGGAGAAGAATTTACCAAACCTTCTGTAATTTATATATTATAAAATTATTAAATATTTTTTATTTTATATATTTTAGTAAGATACTTTCCCAACCGAATCGATTCCATCAAAAACAATATCTATTGTAACACCGCCACCTAAACCTCCAACAAAACCAATAACAAAGACAGTTCCTACACCACCTAAAACTGGAGTCGTTACACCACCCAAAACTGGAGTAGTAACACCACCCAAAACTGGAGTAGTAACACCACCCAAAACTGGAGTAGTAACACCACCCAAAACTGGAGTAGTAACACCACCTAAAACTGGAGTAGTAACACCACCTAAAACTGGAGTAGTAACACCACCTAAAACTGGAGTAGTAACACCACCCAAAACTGGAGTAGTAACACCACCCAAAACTGGAGTAGTAACACCACCTAAAACTGGAGTAGTAACACCACCTAAAACTGGAGTAGTAACACCACCCAAAACTGGAGTAGTAACACCACCTAAAACTGGAGTAGTAACACCACCTAAAACTGGAGTCGTTACACCACCCAAAACTGGGGTAGTGACACCACCTAAAACTGGAGTAGTAACACCACCCAAAACTGGTGTAGTAACACCACCTAAAACTGGAGTCGTAACACCACCTAAAACTGGAGTAGTAACACCACCCAAAACTGGAGTCGTAACACCACCCAAAACTGGAGTCGTAACACCACCTAAAACTGGAGTAGTAACACCACCTAAAACTGGAGTAGTAACACCACCTAAAACTGGAGTAGTAACACCACCCAAAACTGGAGTAGTAACACCACCCAAAACTGGAGTAGTAACACC